ACCATAATGCCCTTAGCAGCAAGTTAAAAATGGAAGGAAAAAAAAAAACCAACTTGTACTCTTCCTTTACCACATTGATTTGCCATGATGGAACACTGGGACTTGGTAATCCATCATAGAAGCTTTCACATGAGATACTATAAGATAATCTATTGGATTCTTGCTTTCCCCTTTTTCTTCTGTGTCATTGCCATAGGCATAGAAAGGACTGAAGAGTCAGGAATACTTCCATTTGAATCTTGCATCAGACATTTACTAGCTAAGTGACCCTGGGCAGGTCACTTAACTTCTCTCAGTCTCAGTTTCCTCACCTATAAAATGGGGATAATAAAGACACCTGCCTCAAAGAATTTTTGTGAGTATTAAATGAGATAATATCTATAATGCACTTTGAAAAACTTTAAGGTCTATATAAGTGTTAGCTATTTATATAGCTATCAATATTGATTTATGTAGCTATTAATATTGATAGCTATATTATGTACATATCATGATTGTGAGCTATGCACTTACCATTTAGGAATTGTTCTTAGTGCATGGGGAGACAATGCAAATACTTTTCTCCAGCTTTCCTGGGTAGGAACTATAAACCTTAAGGGTGAGGAAATCTTCCAAATTATATTTGGGCCCTTCAGGTCATGAGAGTATCTCAATTTAAGGGGCACACATTTGGATAAACCAAGAGAATAAATCTGGCCACCTTAGCATCCACCGACTCAGCCTAACACAATGTCCTCTATGCGACAGTATCTACAAAGAGAAGCGTGTTAGTAGGTTTAATACTGGTCATGGGTAGTTTGACTTGTTCGAGAGAAATAAGATTCTGGAGAGAAATAGTGCTTAGTATTCTCTGCAGAGAAGAGACAGAATAGCCCTCTCTTCTCTCCATCCATCCATCCATCCATCTATATATACATACACAAGGGTACAAGGGCAGTTAGGTGATGCAGTAGATAGAGCACTGGGCCTGGAGTCAGAAAGACTCATCTCCCTGAGCTAAAATCTGTCCTCAGACACTTCCTAGCTGGGTGACCCTAGGCAAGTCACTTAACTCTCTTTGCCTCAGCTTCCTCATCCATAAAATGAGCTGGAGAAGGGAATGACAAGACACTCCAGCATCTTTGCCAAGAAAACCCTATAAGGAATCACAAAAAGTCAGACATGACTGAAATGACTGAACAACAAATACATTCACGATATCTCTACCACAGGACTTCCCCTAAAGGTCACCAGAGACTCCACCCCCTGCCAATAAAGACAATCTTGACCTTCTTGTACTCTAACCGGAAGGCTACTGTAAACCGCAATGTCCTCCTCCACCTCTTCTCTCTCTCAGCTTCGGTCTCATCATATATAATCACAGAGTATTAGAAAGTGGATCAGGTCTATTCTGAAAATCCTCCTTTTACAAAGAAGAAAACCGAGGCTCAGCCAAGGGAAGGGCCTTGCCCAAGATCATACTAAGAGTAAGATAGATTTACAGGACTTGGACTCAAACCGACTCCTCTTCCTACCGGCCTAGGAATCTCTCTTCTCTTACGAGATGCTGCCTCCACCAATTTCCATATATCTCTTCAGGAAAACAAAAATGGGAATAAATCCTATAGTCAATAGGTGATGGAATCAATATGCTGATTTTTATGTAAAGGAATGTCATATTTGTTATGTTGCCTGATCAAGTGTGGTTCTTGTCAGTGGTGTGCTGGGGCCCATCCACTTAAATTCCTCGTCTATGAAATGAGGCTTTTAAGATCCCTTCCAATTCTGAATCTGTGAATCTATATTTCACTTGATTTCTCAGACTGAAGCCATCCAAGTGAACTAACTAATTTTCTAGATGTAATTTGCCTCTTCTAATGTCATCTCCTATCTGTCACCTCCATCTTCCAGAATAATAATAGTTCTTATTTATATAATGCTTTAAAGTTTGCAAAGTACTTTTCATATATTATCTCATTTGATCCTCACAAGAACCCTGAGAGGCAAGTGCTATTGACCTCATCAGTAAATGACTCCAGATGTGTGCGTATGTATGTGTATATGTATACACACACACACACACACACACACACACACACACATCTCCCACCCTACCCATTGTTCCTCATGGGCTTTATACCTGCCAACTGGACATTTGTTTACATGTGGCCTCTCCCATTATATTATAAGCTCCTCGAGGGCAGAGATTGTCTTTGGTCGCTTTTTATATCCCAGCACTTAGCGGAGTGCCTGGCACATAGTAGGCATTTAATAAATGTTGGCCAATTGATTGATTGGACATTTCAAAGTGGATATCCTGTAGGCATCTCAAAGGCAACATTCTCAAAGCATAACTCATCTTTTCTCCCAAACCCACCCCATTTCTGAAGTTCCCTTAGGCAGCACCAATCTTCCAGTTATACAGATTCATAATCTTGATATCACCTTCAACTACTTACTCTCCTTCCCTCCACTTTTCCAATTAGTTGCCAATTCTTCTTGATTCTACATTCACAACATCACTCAAATTCATCTCTTTCTATCCACTCATGCAGCCACCTTGGTTCAACCCCTCATCTTCTCTTGCCTAAATTATTGCAATAGCAACTTAATCTTCCTGCTTCAAGTCCCTTTCCACTCTACTCCATCTTCCACATAGCTACCAATGTGATATTTCTCAAGTGCAATTCTGGCCATATCACTCTCCAGTCCAAAAACTCTAGTGACTTCCTATTATCTCTAGGATCAAATACAGATGCCTTTGATTGAAATTTAAAGCCCTTCAAGACCTAGCTGCAACCTATCTTTGCTGTTGTTCATTTGTTTCAGCTTTGTCCAATTCTTTGTGACCCCATTTGGGGTTTTCTTGGCAAAGATACTGGAGTGGTTTGCCATTTCCTTCTCATTTTTCAGATAAGGAAACTGAGGTAAACAGGGTTAAGTGACTTGCCCAGGATCATGCAGCTAGTACATGTCTGAGAGCATATTTGAACTCAGGAAGATGAGTCTTCCTGACTCCAGGCCTGGCAGTCTATGCACTATGGCACCACCTAGCTGCCCCAAGTAATAATAATAGTTGACATTTGTATGTGTTCCAGGCACTATGCTAAGTGCCTTACAATTATTATCTCATTTGATTCTTACAACAACCAGGAAACTGAAGCAAACAGGGTGAAGTGACTTGCCCAGGGTCACAGAGTTAGTAAGTGTTTGAGGCCCGATTTGAACTCAGGAAGATGAATCTTTCTGACTCCAACCCCAGAACACCATCTACTGAGACACCTAGCTGGCCTCAGCCTTTGTTCTTGGTTTATCATATACATTAATCTCCTTCACACAGCCAAATCAGTCTTATGATCCAGAGGAGTATTAGAGCCTACTTAAACAGGCTTGTAAGCACTTACTATGCCTTGGAAATCAGCAAACTCTACAACTCAGGGCTTGATTTACTTTTTTTGTTGATCATCTAGATTTAAGAAAATGATGGAGAAAAGACGATAGCACCAATTACCCATGAAAGGGTGTCACATACATTTGTTTGAGGGGGAGAGCTGGTTATTAAACATTTACCAGTACACAACTGGTCTTAACACCATTCTTCACATTCCATCTCCCATTTCTCAGCCTTTGCATAGGTTGTCCCTCATGCTTAACATGCCCTCTCTCCTTATCTCTGCCTCTTAGAATCCCTAGTTACTTTGAAATTCAAACACCACCTCCTACACCTTCTGTGCCCAGTTGTTAATGCCTCCCCTACAAAAAATACCCTGTATCTATTTTGCATATTCTTATATGTGACACATTAGTAGGCGCCCAACAAATGCTTGTTGACTTGACTTTTTGTTCTATAATAGAATGTAAGCTTCGGAGCAGGGATTGTTCCATGTTTCTCTATATATCTTCAGTGCCGAACACAGTGTCTGGTTCATAGTAAGCACCTAATGTTTGTTTGATCATTGATATCCATTTTACAGATGAAGAAATCGAGGTTCAGAGAGTTTAGGTAACTAATCCAGGGTCATATAGAGCTAGTAATTGGTAGAGGCAGAATTTGGACTCAGATGTTTCTGACCTCAAGTTCAGCATTCCATGGAATACAAATACCATTCTGAAAGCCCTATTATAAGCTCAAGAATCTTGATCACATTTTCATTGATTCGTGTATTTAGTGAAATCTCATCAACACACCCTCACTACCCAGGATTAAAAAAAAAAAAAAAGAATCCCAAGATGAATGTAAAGTCCACCCTAGGAAATTAGATTTATAGCCCAAATGCTTTAGATTTAAATTACAGTAGTTTATCCTGACAAGAACCAAGGAACAGCTGTCACATACAATTATTTTTAGAGGTACTGCTAAGCCATTCGCACATTATGAGCTGCTGCCAAGCAGTCAACAGTGAGGGGTTTGGGGTTTGGGGGTGGGGGTGGGTTGCATTTTATCATGACAAAGCATTCAAGCATTCACTGTTCCACATTTGGTTATTTTCAACCCATCTCAAGATAATTGACAGAAAGTCTATTATTAGGTAAGTAGGCCTCATGGACAGTATATTCATACTGCCAAGTAGATAAAAGTATGTCACTAGCCTATATATTTGAAGGTTATGAAATCCTCAGGTTGGTTTATGCCACTGCCCCCAGGAAGTCAACATAATTTACCTCCCAAACATAGGGGCTCCTTTCTTGCCCTTAAAAGTCCATGAAGGGAGATGACCCCATCCTACCTAACTACCTCACTTGAAAAACTGTGATACCATCATTTTTTTTAACCCAATAAGATTTCAGTATTCCAATGACTTACTGTCATTGGCCAGGAGAGCCTGGCTTGGGGGTGGTATCACAATACCCTTCCTATGACCAATAATGCCAACACCATTGAATAAGCCGGGCACAGGCTGCGAAGCTCACATACAGAAATATTCACAAGAGGGAAAGGACCTCCTGTTTTCATAAAAGTACAGGGAAAAGGCCCCGCTGGAAAAGCTTTCAGAGCCAGTAAAATATGATCTTTTGAGAACATGGGCAAGGTTCAAATTAAGCCCAAAGTGAATCTGTCTTCATATGTCCACTTTTTACTAAACTGCAGGAACAAGCACAAGGAACAACAGCCAAATGCTTACATCAACTTCAAAGAATTCTCCAAAAGGTGCTCAGAAAAGTGGAAGACAATCTCTAAGCATGAAAAGTCCAAGTATGAAGCCATAGCCAGAATGGACAAAGCACGCTACCAGAAAGAAATGAAAAATTATGTTCCCCCACCAGGAATGAAGAAAAGGAAAAGAAAGAAGAAGGACCCCAAAGCTCCCAAGAGGCCACCCTCATCTTTTCTTCTCTTCAGTCGGGAGCATTATACAAAGATCAAAAATGACAATCCACAATGGTCCGTGATAGAAGTGGCAAAGCTCCTGGGGGAGATGTGGTCCAAAAAGTCAGAGCAGGACAAGCAGCCTTATGAAGAAAAGGCAGCTAGACTGAGGGCCAAGTACCACCAAGAACTCACCACCTATCGGGTTAATCATGGTCAGGGATGTTCAAGGAAGAAGGGACCAGAGACCTCTGGCCAGTATCAGAACAGAAAGAAATCCAAGTCAGACAAGAGTGATGACTATGATGAATCTGATTCAGAAGGCGAGCTGGATTAGACAAGACAAAGACATGAATGATGAAAGAAAAATAAATGCCATCAAACTGTATATGTATCTCTTTTCATTCTTGTCTGTGTTCCTTACATGATGTTGGTTTCCCATCAATCTTCCTTGATTTAGTCACAGAGTTTTGGGAAAAATTAGAGTTTGGAGGGCAGGAGAAGAGAGAAAGAGGGTCCAAGGGAAGGAAGGAAAGATTTGAAAGAAAGGGATGTACCTTTCACTTTTTTTTTCAGAAACCTATTGTTACAGAGGAAATTTGGAACCTAAAAAGTTATATCATCCACACAGATGGTATGTCTGACCTAAAAGCAAGGAAGGGGTTTCTTCTGTCCCTATTCTGTTTCCCTTGTAACTTTACTTTTGAAAATATTTGGAAGATTTCAGTTTACTAAATTGAAATCCCAAGATGACCCACTTCCTCACCCAAACAAACTATATATGAAAGGAGGTCTAATCAAAATCAGTGTAATTGCAATACTCAATCCTTCCCTATAACACTGGTACGTATTTTTTATGTGGTGTGTTTTTAGACTCACATCCCACTGTGGACAACTTTCTACTCAAACTCACCCTAACTTTGGATTGGAGATGATGTCACAAGGAGCCTTCTTGGGAGATTCAATTAGACTCTTTATCGGCCAGTGTTACTACACTTCAGGTACTGGAGGTCAAGACAAAGCAGAGTGATTCAATAAGCAGGAAACTGGCCAATACCTAATAGGGTCACACCCTATTTAGATTTTTTCTTTTTTAAAAACTGGTTCACATCTTCCACTTTTGATCCATATTTATGCACTTCAGGATTACAATCCACAACATTTTGTTTTATTCCTGCCTGTCATGTTGTTTTCCCCTCACTTTAAATGTCCCCTCAATCTCTTAATTCCAAAATCTAATCCTTTTTCTCCAAGGCCTAGCTCAAAATCTCCCTTATCTTTGCCTGAGAGACAAACTGAGAAGAAGAGGGATAATAGCTAAAAATGTAGAAAATGAGAGATTTGAAGAAGTTATATGATCTAGCTTTCTAGTGTTATGTCTCATTCATGGTCACGTTATAGCCTATCACTGTGGGAAGGGAAGGAGATGGGGGAGAGGTGTCACTTTGCCCTGGTCTTATAAAGGGGCTGAACTGGATGATTCCCCTCTTGAGATCCCTTTCCAGCTCCTTTGACATTCTATGATCCTTCAATTAAGTTCTAAGTATATCAATTGGTCTTCTCAACTAGACTATGTAATATGCTCCTTGAGGAGAAAGGCATTTTTGTGTTTTTATTCCTAGTTGCTCATATATGGTAAAGACAGTAATTTGTGGAAATGAATTTGAATTATGAGAGGTTTTATGAGACCATGACAATAGGCATACTTTTATGATGGAAGGTGCACTGGATTAAAAAAAAAACACAACTTTTTTGAATACTGAAGTGATTAATGGTGAAGGTGTATTAAAACACAGTTAAAACAACTGTGACTATTCTCTAGAGACTCCTTCTAGGGAAATGGAAACTTCATTAGCATTTGGGCTGCTCCACATTATTTTAACAGAGCAACACTGAAAGGGATATGAGTGTACTGGCAGCTTCTGGTGATTGTCCATTTTAAGAAAATATAGAGTCAAGGAGAGTGAGATTCAGACCAAGACTAATGGAGAGAATAAAAACCACCCTCTAAACATGCCTAGTGATTTCCATCTTAGAAAAGGGTATCAAGCTCATTCTGGCAGTTTTCTCACTCAGTTTTCCCATCTTGCCAGCCTTATTATTTCCTGGACCACCCACCACCAAAAGAAAAAAGCAAACCCCCAAAACAAAAACAAAAACACCAAAATTATATAGAGAATCACGTGGGAATGAGATAGAATCATTTGTTGGGAAGTCAAAAAATCTGAAATCTGAGTATGAGGCCTACCCTTTTGATTCTTTTACAAGGCCAGGCCTACTCTTAGCCAGTTCTCTAGGCCACTAAGCATAAGCAAGGAGGGTTCACATTTGACAAGCTCTCCATGCTGATCTGAAGGAATCTCAGCTTTTCCCCATATTTGTACTATACTTTACTTCAAGATTTACAAAACTGCTTTATGAGGTCATAGGAAGCTGGTTAGTCAAGGCAATTTTGTTTGTAGACTATTTCAGCACTGCTTTACTAAAAAAGCTCCCTTCTTTGATCCCATTGGCTTTCTCCTCCATTACTTAGTGACACACAGAAGGACACTGGAGAATAGACCAGAAGTGTAGTCAGGTTAAGTATGATGACAATGTCTCCTTGGCTTGTGTGTCCTCCTGTTTGGGATTTGCTGTGATATATAATGTTGTGGCTATTAAGATGTAGACAGTCTCTTTCTTCAAAGGGGAAACATTAAACTGATTAAGGGGCTATTTTGTGTACTAGGAAGCTGAGCTTCCCTTTGTTTCTAGAGCTTGTCTTGGAAAAGAAAAGGTCCAAGATTATGGGTTGGTTGAGGGGTACAGGAGGGGAGATGGCTGTAAGTGAAAAAAAAATTCAGGGTTTAAAGAAGGATGATTCTAAATTTGGGGGTACAGTGGGGTGAAAGAAAAGACACCAGGTTTATTCCCTAAACTATTGAAGTTTAATCCCTTCTAGATTTGATTAAATTCTAATTAGAAAGTAAACAAACATTTTACAAATCTCATCTATTTCTATGGATGGTTTTTCTATTGGGGGGTGAAATAGAAAGGTTAATATTATATCTCCCCTAAGTAGTAAAAAAAGATTCTTTTGAAGAACCTTGTAGTCAATGAACTCCATCACAAGTAGTTTATGGTTACAAAGGGCTTTATCATCTGCTCCCCACAACTCTGTTAAGGGGTAAAGTAAAAGAGTTAAGTCCTCATTTTATGGATGAGGAAAACTAAGACTTGGTGGGAAGTGTTTTGTTGCATCAATGGGTTTGAATCAGGGAGACATAAACTGACTGTGAGTTGGCCCCAGAAGGCAGTTAGAAGCAATTGGCAATCTGTAGGTTGGAAAAGGTTTTGGTTTTTTGTTTGTTTGTTTTGCCCCTCTTTTTTTTTTATCAAAAAGCTGGAAAGGGACCTTAGAAGGTCATCTGGTCTAACTTTTTTTTTACATTTTACAGATGAGAAAACTGAGTCAGCATGTTTACATACTTGTAAAATGGGTAATATTAACTAACATGATAGATTTGAACTAAAGTCCTCTGATTTCAAATTCTTGCAACACCCTTTCTACCTCACCACTATGTGCGGGGAAATCTTATCTATAATGGAATTTAACAAAAAAAATAAAAATAATGCTTACATTTATAAAATAAAAAAGGCACTTTCCTCATTATTACCCTTTTGAAGGAGTTAGCAGAGGTGGATTCACTCCTCCCCCATAAAAGGTTATATCTGTAAGTGTTTTGTTATTACACCATATATGTTCATCTTGGGGGCTGTTTCAGCCCTGAGGGGCAAGCTGGACTACTTGTTCTCTTGTCTTTGTATCCACCAAGCTGGCCAGCCCAGCTAGCACCTCTAACTGTCCCAGTTCAGTGGTGTCCCACTCTTTGTGACCCCATTCTGAGTTTACTTGGCAAGATATTGGAGTGATTGCCACTTTCTTCTCCAATTCACACAGCTCTAGTGTCTGAGGCAAGATTTGAACTCAGGAAGACTTAACTTTCTGATTCCAGCCCCAGCACTCTGCACTATGGTGCCACACAGCTGCCCATATCTCTAGCATAATGCTGGCTTTAATACTGCCTGTTTAATAAAATGCTTGTTGATTGATTCAAATCCCAGTCTTGCTATTTTAGCAAACCATTTCCCCTATTTACTTGGGTCCTTGGATTTTTCATCTGTATATAATGATGGGCATGAATGAACTGAGTGATATTTAAATTTTCTTCTAGGTCTAAATCCTATTAACCTCTAAGCATAAATTGTAACTCATTTTACATATGGAAAAAATGAGGGACTTTCTTCTAGGAAAACTGTGACCTCTCTGGCCACAGAAACACTCCAAAAATATTTAAACTTATCGAGTATAGGAATATATTAGAATTATCCGATGAATCCATTGAATCCAATGAAGGCAGCTTCTTCCCTTGAGAAAGGGGCCAACAAAAAAAGATGCCCAATTGGCGATGGTGGCAAGTGGCTAGACAAACTATATAGCATATGAAAATGAAATAAATATTACTATTCTGTAAGAAATTATGAATATGACGCATGAAAAGATTTACATGAAATGCATGCTGATTGCACAGTGATAAGAAAAGCCAAGAAAACAATATCCAAAGATTTTACAACAATGTAAATGAAAAGAACAAGAAGAGACTGGGAGAGATGTAGGCAAATGTAAAAATGAAAGAATAACACTAAAATTTTTTTAAGGGAGGGGACTGGCATTAATAAGGAAAGGCAAGTTAAAGAAAAACCTTTCCTGACTTTCCATTTTGATTCATACTCTTCCTCTGGAGTTGATGTAACTCTGTCTTCTTAAGGCCCTTCACTCTACATTAATCATGGTGCAGGACTTTTTCCTCTTAGAGTGGCAATGAGTACTGGACAAAAGTATTGGGAGTTGAAATATTCAGGTTCTTGTTCTAGTTTTGTACAGACATTAATTAACTCCCTGACATCACGATAATAGCTATGCAATTTCTATACCAATTTACTTAGACACAAAGTGCTTTCCTTACTACTGTAAAGTTACACAAATAGTCTTAACCCCATTTACTTGTTAGGGAAACTGGCTCAGAACAGCTGAGAGACAGTGACAGTGGGTCCGACCCACAGCTATTTCTTACTGCAAGAATCAGGATTCGAACCCAGGTTACAGATTAATAGATTATTAATAGAAAAGAATAAAGATTCATATGGTCCAATCCCTGCTATTTTACAGATGGAGAAACTGAGGCCCAGAGAGAAAGTGACTTTTCTGAAGACACACAAGTGTATTTGTTGTTGAGCTTAGAGTTTAAAATCTTGTCCAGTTCCCCAGAAAGAGACGGGAACAAACTGAACTCTCCG